CGTAAAGGACTGACTCAGGATAGCCTTTGAACTTCCTCCTTGAAGAGTGAAACCCTGTCTGTTTTTTCAATAGAGGCCCCCAGTGAAGACTGTGTGTTGTCGTTAGCTTATGGTGACATCCCAGAAGAGTTAATAGATGTCTCCGATTTTGAATGTTCTCTCTGTATGAGGTAAGTGTATCACATTTTATAAAGATGACTCTATTGATGTAAATGTGGTAGAGATAAAGGTAATGTTAGGAGAGAGAGGAATGATACTAGTTAAGGATCAGACAATGGAAGTTTAGTCCTAAGTTTAGCTGTTTGAGGGACTAGATCTCTGAATCTCAGGTGTGCAGGTTTAGAAAGTGGGGCCAGTGTTTGCACAGCCTGTACCTCAGTGTTCAACGAGAAAAAGAATGTGGCAAGCTGTAATGCGTTCTGAGATAGATTTGAGTAAGAACCCAAGGTACGTATTTCATGGATACCATCCTGTCCTTCTCAGAGTAACCACTAAGTCCTATTAAAGTAACATGGATAAGGATTTCCCTTTCGCAACTACTTATGATCCTGGCTGTTAGGATGGTTTGAAAGGACTTTTCTCCTTTTCATGAATTATGGTAGACTCGGGAGTTTACAACCCATCCAAGGCCTGGGGCCGGCCATTCTAGGCTGAGGGTGAGAATCTATGATACTCCTCTGTGGGTCTCTTTATTGGGAACCTCAGTTTCCTTATCATTCCTAAAGTATACACAAATCTAGCAATATTCTGGGGAAGCCAGAGGATTATTTTTTAGGAAGTAATTATAGAGTAAATAAATTTTTTCTGTGTTGAGAGTCATATCTGATATTACATTCTGGTGCTTCCTCGGTCGTATTTATTCTGTTTTCCTTTGGTGAAGCAGGGTCTCAGTGTGTGTAGCCTGTGCTTTGAACTGATGATTGCTTTACCCCATCTTCCAGTGTGCTAGGATTAAAATATTGGGCGTAGGGCTGGAGTGATGGCTCAGAGGTTAAGAGCACTGGCTCCTCTTCCAGAGGTCCTGAGTTCAATTCCCAGCAACCACATGGTGGCTCACAACAACCTGTAATGAGATCTGGCGCCCTCTTCTGGCATGCAGGCATACATGTAGGGAGAATACTGTATACACAATAAATAAATAAATCTTTAAAAAAAAAATAATTCAATACCTGTTCCACCATGCCAGGTTAGATCATTCTTTCTCTAAATTAAGTTTTTGAGTTAATATGCAAAGGAATTTCATCATGGCATCTTCATACTTATGTCATTATAGTGTGCTTAGAATATTCTTTTTTTTTTTTAGTGTATTCTATGTAGTAAAGCTTTTATAAAACTACAAAGTACCATCTTTAATTGATGAGGGTGTATAAGGATCTTTATTACTCTGAACTTTATTTACTTTGAACTGTCTTTGACATCTGCATTTGCTGTCAGTTTGCTTTCGAGGCTCAGTCCGGATCGGCCACAGCTCAAGTGGTTGGTAGCCACAGGTGTCCACTTAGTGGCCACTGCAGTGGCCGGCACAGTTCTAGGCCCCGGGAGCGTACTTGGTTGATGGAGATCTTTCAGGGGGGCACAGTACACTTAGCATTGCCCTCTTCCTTCCTTCTCTCCTGCCCCCAGCTCGGCCTCCCTCCTCTAAGTAGAGATTTGTGTTGTGATCCGTCATGAACAGACGCTTCTCCAATGCGAAGGCTCCTGGTGGGAAAGCTAATTCGTACTTCGTTTGATTTCAGGTTGTTTTTTGAGCCAGTAACAACCCCTTGTGGACATTCATTCTGTAAGAATTGTCTTGAGCGCTGTTTAGATCACACGCCGTACTGTCCCCTCTGCAAAGAGAGCTTAAAGGAGGTAAGTGTGCATTTGTATCTGTTTATTGGCCTTAAGTTTGGCAACATGGCTTGGTTTCTGTTCAGGCCCAGAAAGAGTGATTTCATTTTCAAAGTGAGGTGCATTGTATATTCTGTCGGACTATGCACACACTGCTCATTACCCCCTGGACTGGCTGGTTTGTGGGTCAGCTTGACACAAGCTAGAGTCATCAGAGAGGAAAGAGCCTCAGTTGAGGAAATGCCTCCATGAAACCCAGTTGTCAGGCATTTCTCTCAATTAGTGATCAGTGGGGGAGGGCCCAGCCCATGGTGAGTAATGCCGTACCTGGGCTGGTGGTCCTGGGTTCTATAGGAAGGCAGGCTGAGCAAGCCATGAGAAGCAAATTAATAAGCAGCCCCCCTCCATGCCCTTTGCATCAGCCCCTACCTTCAGAATTCTGCCCTGTTTGATTGAGTTCCTGTCCTGGCTTCCTTCAGTGATGAACAGCAATGCTGAAGTGTAAGCCAAATAAGCCCTTGCCTCCCCAACTTGCCCTTTGGTCATGGTGTGTGGTTGCAGCCATGGGAACCCTAACTAAGATACCTGTGTTGTTTAGGAAAGGGGAATTGAGAGTTGGGAAGAGACAGGTCCCAAAGACTGAGCCCTTTCAGCTGCCTGGCCAGGGGAAGGCTCAGTTTTAATGACGACACTATTGGGGGAAACGTTACTGCCCTGCATCTCTCCCAGATTTGAGGCCTGTGCAGACTCTTATCACCTGGAGCAACTGTCCTGTACAGCCTCTGCATGGTAGAAACGGTCAGCTTTCCTGTCTAGTTTGGCGACCACCAGCCCATGTGACTGCTGAAGCTCTTGAATTATGGCTAGAGTGGCTGAGGGACTGGTTTTCATTTTGTTCAGTGAACTAAACCTTGAGGCATGGTGACCAGTGCTTATTACGCTGGACAGAGTAGCTCTAAGAAGTGGTGGGATAGAAGCAGCATCCCCCTTGTCTCAGAGTCAGACCAGTACTAGCATCCTGTGATGGGAAGGTGGGGGCAGGGCTGTCTCCTGGCCCCCTCTCTATCAGGGTCAGCAAAGTGGGGCTCATCATGGTGCTATGTAGCATCTGCAGTGGGAACATCCATGGGAACATGCCTCCCTGGATCACGTACAGAGAAAGCATCCTCCACCAGTGAATTAAAATACGAATAAAACCTTTTTAAATGTAATTATTTTCAATATAAAAAATACCTGTGTGGAAAACACAGTGGTGTGTAATTCTACATTTGATATGTGTCTTACATAGCAAGCTGGTATGTTCAAAACACACACAGGCACACATATGTACACACATACACACACATACACACACACACACACACACACACACACACGTGCGCGCACGCGCGTGCGCAAACACACACACATACAGTGTTTGCACAGTCAAGAAGTGTAAGCTGAAGGCTTAGAAGGCTTTACCAGTCATAACAGCTTCTCCGTCTTTTTGGATAAACTATGCTTAACATGCTAATTTTTCCCAGAGTTTAGATAATCTGTGTTATAATTGCTCTTATTTTCAAGCTAACACTATTCAGTACATTGCTTTCATTTAGAGAAATTTTGTCTTTAAAAATATTAGTAGTTTAAAACCAAAAAAAAAAAAAATCTAGCCGGGCGGTGGTGGCACACGCCTTTAATCCCAGCACTCGGGAGGCAGAGCCAGGCGGATCTCTGTGAGTTCGAGGCCAGCCTGGGCTACCAAGTGAGTTCCAGGAAAGGCGCAAAGCTACACAGAGAAACCCTGTCTCGAAAAACAAAAACAAAAACAAAAAAAATATAGTAGTTTAAAGGAAATCTTGAACATACTATTTGAATGTATAATTAGCTGTTTAAAAATATCCTATTTCCAACTTTGAAGATACCTTACTTTGCCATTTGTAAAGCGTAAATATAGATAGTTAGAATTTGAAAATAATACTGCTGTGCTCTGTAGTTTTGCGTATTTCCTGCTTGCATTTTGCCATCTTCCTTTCCCCATGAAGTATGGTGTAAAGACGTGGGCTTCGTAGCATTCCTCTGTTCCAGAGCTTACAGTGGGTCTGTCCCTTTGTCAATTAATGAGTGTAGCTATTTGACAATAGCCTTGGCTAAGTTCCTGGGAGGTGAACTACTGAATCAGTGGCTATATTTTTCTAATACTCCTAAAATATATGTCGGATTGCCTAGTCCCTTATAACTGCTACACAGATTTAGATCCCTCCCAGGGGCCTAAGGTACTATTTCATAAGCTGTAACTGTGTGCGCATCCATTTTTTCAGAAATCTTTATTAACAGAAAACAGTAAGATGACTGCTTTTACGAAGTGTATAATGTGTTTAGTCTCATGGCAAACTCCTGTTGTCCACACACACAGTCCAATGGAGTCCTGCTCAGGCCTCTTCCCCATTGTAAATCCAGCCCTTCTTCCAGTGTGTGCACTGAGCAGCAGCACCTGGGTCAGCTGAGACCTTGCAGGAACTGATTCTCAGACTCCACACTGCACCCCTCAGTCAGAATCCCGGGGTGGGTCTTGCAGTCTGTCTCCTAGTCAGCACTGAAAACGGCTTCCCTCGTTTCCTTCCCGAATTCTTCGGTTTCCCGTTGTGTTCTTCATTGGGCAGAACTGCTGCTTTGGTTGGCTGTACAGATTGAAGGATGGCTTCTCTTGTGGTTTTTCTTCCGAGTTCTTTCTGACTTCGTGTAGTTAATGCAGGTGTATTTTTTTGTCTACCTACTCTGAGCTTGTCCCTGGTCTTAAGGAACTTTTAGTTTGGTTACAGAGACTGATGTATCCATATCCATGTGGTACAGTGTAGAGGTGGATTTGTCCCTTTACTGTGGTAAAAACTGTAAAATACACAGTGTAAGGTAAAGAGTAGTTACGGAAGACGTCCTGAAACATGTAGTTGGCTCCTGACCCGAGAGAGCTTTCACAGCCAGGAGGGAGGTAGATGTTTTATATCAGCACTGATATGGGCTGCATGTGGATAGCAGCTTCTCAGGGTTTAAAGGGGAGCACTAATGCACCATTTACATAGAGGTGGGGATGATCATACAGGAAAAGCATCGTCCCGATGAACACTAAGGGATAGTAACATTGGAAAGAAAACCTAAGAGAAAAATTCAAAGGGTAGAGTGGTATTGTATGCCTCCAATCCCAGTACCTGGGGAGCTGAGGCAGGAGAACCTCAAGTTCCAGGCAGGCCATCCTGAACTACACAGCGAGACCTTATCTCACAGAAATAGAAACAGCACTCCCAACCACAAAAGCGATGTAGAGACTTCATCTTTGAAAGTAGACAAAACAGGAATTGTTTTGAATTTCTGAACTCAGACAAGTGCATTATTGTCTTCATCCACGTCTTCCTTTTGCCTCCTAGAAATTGGCTTGTGTTGTGGGAGATGGCAGGGGCCAGGCTGGTTGCTGCCAATAAAAGATCTGTGCTCGTGGCAGGACCGTTTCTGCACAGGGCTTGGTTCCAGCTGAGTCTCCAGCCTCGTGCTGGAGCAGAGGCCCAGGCAGGTTTATTGTGTAGCTACACGAACTGCAGGGTCCCCCTCGCTAATCAAATGCAGTCAGAATCGAGTGTGTCGGTCTATAACAAAGGCTTTGATCTCTCAGTTACAGTGTTTCGCCTGCCTTATACTGTAGGAAAACATCTACTGGAGTGTGAAATGATTCTGTCTTGTAGTATCTAGCAGACAGGAGGTACTGCGTCACGCAGCTGTTGGAAGAGTTAATAGTGAAGTATCTGCCGGATGAGCTGTCGGAGAGGAAGAAAATCTATGATGAAGAGACTGCCGAGCTCTCACAGTAAGTCTCTTACGAAACTAACCGGGGGTGCGGAAGCAGCAAGAGAGCCTTCCCTGAGCGAGCCGGACGCCGTCAGTCAGTCTAGCACCGAGGCACATGTTAACCAACTGTTGCTCGGGTTTCCTGTCCTGAGCAGATGGGATCGTGGAAGCTCCATCAGTAGAGTCCAGATGTTCTGTAGGGAGTCACCAGGGCAGCTCTTAGGACTGAAGCAGTGGCAGAGGTTGGGGGCAATTTCCTGCTCTGACAACAGGCGGTGGAATGGGGTAGAGGTGAACTTGGTAAGGTCGATGCAGACTGGTCCCCCACATCCTGGAACAGGGGGAGCATCAGCCTCCATTAGCAGGGATGTTAACAGGCTAGAGCAGTGGTTCTCAGCCTTTCTAATGCTGCAACCGTCTAACACGGGTCTGCATGTTGTGGCGACCCCCAACTATATAATTTCTTTTGTTGCTACTTCATAACTGATTTTGCTACTCTTCTGAATCATAATGTAACTATCCATGTTTTCCGGGGGTCTTAGGCGGCCCCTCAAAGGGATCGTAACCCACAGGTTGAGAACCACTAGGCTAGAGACTTGGAATGGAGTGGGATTGAAACATGAAGGAATGCCTTAGGGGTCGAATCCTCAGCAAAGGTACCAGGGTGGAGAACGTCCAGGTTATTAGAAGGATGAAGAAACATCCAGAGGCGACTTTGGGGTGCTAGCAGCTGTCCCCACTGCCATGGATTGACTGGAGCTGGGTAGGTTTGCCCACCTCTGCCTGCCCATGGAAGTTCTTCCCAGGCCAGTGACCTTCAACACAGAAGTTCCTAAGCTCTTTACAGCCCGTTAGTGATTTGTCCTCCTCCCAAGAAACTCGTGTTTTATTGTGTATTTTATGATAGAAGATACTGAGGTGAAGACCCTGCCTGTCTTTGATACTGAACAAGAAGCCTAGATCAGAGAGATGTGGTGACGGGCGCTCCAGATGGGAAGCACAGTGGTGAAGCCGGCCCACCCTTAGAGAGAGGGAGGCCTTGCAGAAGCAGCAGGTGGAGAGTCGAGAGTGGTGGCGAGAAGCCAGGGGCATCCAGGCTTGCTCGCAGACCTGTTTTTTGAACTGGGCTTTTGTGTGAAGCCTCACATGTCCTGAGCGGTCATGAGCGGTCATGTAGCAGCAAAATGGAAAGGGAGCACGCTGGCGGCAGTATTCCCCACCATCCTCTTCCCCACAGTGCAGGTCACTCTAGGTCAGGGCAGCCCTGGGCCTCCTAGTGGTCAGCATGGCACTCCGTCTTCGGCCAGTCCACACTTTACCCCATACTATACGGTCTCCTCTTCCAATTGCCAACCTTCAGATACCCCACCCCCCCAACAATGTCGCTGTGAATATTCATTTCTGCATCTGTAGCGTTGTTTCTAAAAAGAAAAATTCTTGGTCCAAAGAAGCACGAACATTTTCTACCCAAAAACCTGTGGGGTTTCCTGCTGTGGAGCCAAGTACTTGGATGTGCATTTCTTTCTCAGCTTCGCCTCCCCCCCCCCCCCCCCCCACACACACACAAGGCCAGGCTTACTCATCCTTGCTACCTAGGCATTGCCTTGGTCGCTCTTACTGTTCGCAATCTGGCAGAAGAAAGGTAACTGACACTTTAGTTATCTGAAAAACAAAAAACAATAACAACAAAAAATGTTGTTTTGTTGAATTATCTCCATTGATAGCTTGAAAATATCATGCTTCAGAATTTTTGTCCATTTTAGGAGTCCATTTTTTTTCTCAATGTTTTATGGATTAAAGCTATAAGTTTGTCCTGCATTGTAAGTATATTTCAATATAAAGTTCTCAATATAAAATGGTAGTTCTGGTAAATTTCCTTTTCATTCTTAAAAATAGCTCTATATAGTACCTACTGTTTTAGAATTCAAGCTTATAAATAAGAGGAACGTAATCAGATTTTCAGGCTCAGGCTGCAGCAGTGTGAACTTGAGAAAGGGGAACTGCTTCCTGTCCTAGCCAGGAACTGAGAGCACGTACTTAAAATAGATTTTGTTGGGTTCGCATCCATTTTCTCACTGTTGTAATCCTGATGTATTTTTGCCGTCTGATTTGGTCTATAACAAAGAAACTTCTTCTTCTTCTTCTCCTTCTTCTTCAGCTTGACCAAGAATGTCCCAATATTTGTTTGCACTATGGCCTATCCCACTGTGCCTTGCCCTCTCCATGTATTTGAGCCCAGATACAGGCTCATGATCCGTAGAAGTATACAGACTGGAACCAAGCAGTTCGGGATGTGTGTCAGCGATACAGCGAACAGGTAGACTCCTTGTGAACTTCGATATCTTCCTGTGTGTCTGAATGAGGCTTTGCACACTTAATGCTCAAACACTCTTTTTCTCTTAGTTTTGCAGATTATGGTTGTATGTTACAAATTCGAAATGTGCATTTCTTACCCGATGGACGGTCTGTGGTTGACACAGTTGGAGGAAAGCGGTTTAGAGTTTTAAAAAGAGGAATGAAAGACGGATACTGCACTGCAGACATTGAGTATCTGGAAGATGTGAAGGTATTAAAAGTGTTCTATTCCGCTGTGCTCTGGGCTGCCGCATCCTAGGGCTTGGTACCTACATGTAGGTGAGGTTTTCTAGGCATGGGAACCAGTTCTTTTCACTCATCATTGATGCTTAGAAGGATCTGCTCCAGTTGCCTTTTTTTATCTTGCTCTTGAATCGTTTGCCTGTTCAGGAGAACCTGGGGATAGGAATCTCCAGCTTCATCACGTTCCAGGCATCCCCGGCAGGATGGTACCTGGACCCTACCTGCGCTTGTTCGTATTGTATTCGCAGGAATCACTACTTAACAGTAGCCGTTGACTAATTGAGCCCCCAGCTCATCATATCTCTACCTTATTGTATTTGATTCATTAATAATTAAAACTGTTAGCATTCGTAGATTAAAATTTAATGTGAAAGTAAACACAAAATTCTTTTTTTTTTTTTTTTGTGACTAAAGCATTTTATTAAATTAAGTGTGTAATTTGCAAATGGTTTCATAAGAAATTTTAAAAGCAAAGTTATAAACATTTTCAATAAAAAAGTACAGAGTTGACAGCAAAAATCACGTTTTTATAGTACAAATAAAAACATTTGCTTCTGATATACTGTCCGAGCAGCTTATAGTCTATTCTTCAACTGCTAGCTGCAATGTGGCACGTGACTGAGACGTCTCAGGGTAAACAACAACAACAATAACAACAACAGGTTCATCACTGACGGCGGCCGTCAACTGTGAGGACACAATGGATGAACTGAGGTCATGAGGCGTTAGGACACAGATGTTCCAGCCTTGCTTCTCTAGTCCCTTCTGTAAAGAGGCATCAAGTAATACTGTAAACTTAAATTACACCTTAAAAATGAGCACCAGTAACATACATTCTACATCGACTTACTTTTCCTTTTAAATGGCACTTGGTTTTGGCCACACAGACATTTAAATCTGTTTTCTTTACAAGTAATTAAAAATAAGCAACATTTAAGCACAGCACAGAGCATTATCAAATGTCATCTCATTGCACTACAGAAAAGCACTTGGAAAAAACAGCACACATTATTTTTGTCTGTTTCATACGTTTTCTTGAGAGCAGTTAAAACATTGTCAGAACAATTTTTTGAATTGCCAGCTCAGAAATAACTAACCTTGTCATTACATATGTCCTTCTAAAGCAAACAGAACACCTGAATTTAAAGAGAAAAAGACCAAAACAAAGGTCAGGAAACCACCCAAAAGAACGGGAAGCTTTTCTTCTCCTATATGTTAGAATACAAATCATTTCAGCCCGTTTCCACCATTTAAAGTGGATGATACTGAAAAACAACAGGAGTATAAGTATTGAAACACAAAATTCTTTAATGGTTGTTCTGTGTGTTAGGATTTTTCTTGTGTCAGAGACAATCTTAATTAGAAAATAAATACTATTGGATGCTGTTTTAAAATGGTAAGATGTCCCAGATAAGACACTGCCAGTGTATACATGCTGCTGATAGCTTTCTAAGGTGACAGACATCTTTCTTAGACAAGTTTGATGTAGCCTCACGATGTTTTCAGAACCCGGTTTACCAACTGGAAGTAAAGTACCAGAAAGTCATTGCTCTTTTCAGTATCAAGTTGAAAACAATTTCTCTGGGAAAGGCAGGGTAAAGCTCAGGTCTGACTTTATCACTGTTCACTGATCTATTTTGACCCTTCATTTCAGTCAACATTTCTTGACCATGGGGCCCGGGCCGCCTCACAGAGAGTTCACAGACTTTCACAACTCTGAAACAGTTAACATCTGAACAGAGGAGGTGACAGCTGTTCACTTGCCCAGGAATGTGTAGTGTGTAACAAATGATTGACAGCTGACCAGCTCCACATGCTGGGCCTCCTGCTTGCACCTTGCTGCCTCTCTGGTGATAGACCTGACTGACCTGATGTTGCCTGGTCTCCCTTAGAAAGATGTCATGTGGGAGGAGGCAGAGGCAGGCAGAGTTTCAAGGCCAGCCTGGTCTGCATAGTGAGTTTCAGGACAGATGGGGCTACACAGAGAGACCCTGCCTCAAACAAACAAACAAAAATGTCATGGGGAGGGATACTTTGCTCTGTCAGGGCAGAATGTTGAATGACTTGAAAATTTTAGTTGATTGATAGTTGATTTGTTTTAGTGTCCTTGGGATAGAATTGTTTGCGAAAGACAGTGTTCTTTGTTTTAACTTTAGGTAAATTTGTGTAATGATATATCACATGTTATGGCAAAATCCCTTCAGTGCGTAGCTGAACATCTATGGCTGAAAGCTCATATCCGTAGAGTAGCATGTTGGAAGTGTGTTTAGAAAGTGGTACCATGTTTAGGAGACTGGGCTCTTGTCTTTGGTCATAACAATGTCTAGGAATTCTTTTTCCCTTTCATATGTTTTGGCTCTTTTTTTTTTTTTTTTTTTTTTTTTTTTTGTCTATTCTGCTCTGGAAGATCTCAAATTTATTATTTACCTTTTCTTCTTGTGGTAATCCTATTTTCTGTAATGTCTAATGAAATTTTAAGCTCTATTTAATTGTTGCAGCAGTGTTCTTAACCTTAAAAATGCTTGCTTTTGAAATTGGTTTGCTTCTGGGCTGGTTTTGTTTTTCTCTCAGATGTGCGGCCCTTTACCGGTTTAGCTATTTTTAAGCACAGCTCAGGGATAGATCACGTTATGCAAATTACAGCTGATTTTGATGCTTAGTTTCAGTTGTCGTTTTAGTTTTTTCAGAAGCAAAATGCATGACCTTCGGCGTTTTATGTTTTTGTATTTCAAAATCTTCCTGAGTCCCTTGATTGTTCTGTGGTAGTCATCCTTTAAAACATGAAAGTCTGAGTCAGCCTGCCTTTTAACAATATTACATTCATTCATTCATTCCCTCATTCATTCACTCACTTGTAGTGGGGGCAGGGGCATCTGTACGCTATGGTGCCTGTGTGGAGTTCAGAGGACCACTGTTCCAGGTCAGTCCTCTTTCACGCTGTGGGTCCCCAGCCAGGCTGGCGGTTTCTGCAGCAAGCCCCTTTGCCCAGAAAACGGTCTTGCAGCACCTGCCTGCCGCTTGCTCAGGTGAATTGATGTAGCTGTCTCAGAGCACAGCCAGGCACACGGCCGGGCCGGGGCAGGAACGTGGGGAAGCCTGTTCACACAGATGAGTTCCCTGGTGGTCCGTCCTCCTGGGTTCTGTGAGTCTCCCGGCTAGAAGATGCCTTTCATTTGACACTTGCCATTCGCTGGTTGGAGGGTTCATGGAGGAGTTCATGGAGGGAGCCCCAGCCTTCGGCCTGTGTGAACATTGTCCACTCTATTCTCTACCTTTTGATTTGCCAGTTTGGGGACAAGGATTTTCACTGCTTTTTGTTTCTGTGTTGTGACCCAGTTCTTTGGGAAAAGATGTGTTTATGACTGCCCTCCTGACACTACTTTCTGCCGGGCGGTTTGTACCCTAGGCGACCCATTTTTCTTCGTGTTGCAGCAGCTGTTTCATTCCAAATTCTCGTAGACCTTTGAACCAGAGCTCATTGTCCACCATCCTTCTTCCTTCCCAGGCTGTCAGTCAGGTTGCTGCCTGCTCTCAGTGGAGATCAGGCCATGCTCTTTCCAGTGAGTCCCAGTAGGACTCTGTAGGGCAGAAACATAAGCTAATATTGCAAGAGAGTCTCACTGTGAGAATCCAGCACTGACGTGGCTACTCCTCTGTTCTGACCATGCTTTTTGTGTTCTGTGTGGTTGATGCTAAGGGCTAGGAAATTGGACACAGAGATCTTACCGACTCTTCTCTCTAGATTGAGAATGGAGACGAGATACAGAGTCTGAGAGAGCTTCATGACTTGGTGTACTCACAAGCCTGCAGCTGGTTTCAGAATTTAAGAGATAGATTTCGAAGCCAAATCCTTCAACACTTTGGATCGATGCCTGAGAGGGAGGAAAACCTCCAGGTAAGATGACTTTGGTGCTGTTACTGATGGCCTCACTTCTTCACAAGCCTAATGTATCATTTTACACATGTCCTTGTTTTATTTTCTTTGACCCCATCTTTAGAATTACGAGTGTATTGTAGAGCCCTGGTCTCTACTACATGTAATGTATGACAGGCTCCCTGTAGGAAAGAGGGCCACAGAGGGAGGAAAGGCTTGTCTGAGGATCTCCAGAGGGATGACGGGTTTCATGGGATGCTAGGCCTCCATTCAAGTGTAGCCATGAGGCCACTGTACCTCCCAGACCATCACCTGTCACATTGGCAATTGAGAGATGTGTGATGTTTCCATCTTTTAAAAACATCTGCCCAGACCATCACCTGTCACATTGGCAATTGAGAGATGTGTGATGTTTCCATCTTTTAAAAACATCTGCTCACCTCTCCTTTTATCCGTTATGTTTCATTCACCAGTTCAATTCACTTTTGTCTGTTAGTGTCTAACATTTCCACTGTCATAAAACTGTCACTCTTGGGGACCTGCCCCAGACTGGGCCTTTACATTAGAACTGAACCTAATCAGTAATGTGGTTTAGATGCTGTCCGTGCATGGGGCTCTGCAGTAGCAATTGAAAAAACCCTAAGGAGTCACTTCCCTGGGGGATCCGATCACAGACCCACGGAAGAACCAAAGTTAGGCACAGCATTTTGAATTGAATAAAAATATTTATGGTTAAAAGATGATAATTTCATAGTGGGATAGATGTAAATATATGAAGATCAAGTGATAATAATAGATCCCAGTGTGGTGCACCATCTCTCATTCTATTCTTCCAAAGTTGGTCTGAGTTTCTCAAATCCCAATGATTCGCTTCTTCTGAGGACAGGACCCATGCTGTGTTACGCCATGTCTTTGCCCATTTTGGTGTTGAATCTGGTTAAACATTATCTCTATAGGCTTTCATCAGCCAGAGTAGAAGAGTGCATTTAAAATCTCCAGGAGTAACTTCCATCAAGATCTGCCAGTACATCTGCATTGTCTCACTCCTCTCCAGTAGTTCAGTCACTGCCACTGGTTTCCGTTAATGACAGCGTAGGAGTCAGGGAACCAAAGCAGCCACTGTGTGCAGTCCAGGAGTGAGAGCACTGTACCATGCACAGTTGATCCAGCCGCTGGAGAGCATTGTATGATACACAGTTGATCCAGCCGCTGGAGAGCATTGTACAATGCACAGTTGATCCAGCTGCTGGAGAGCATTGTACAGTGTACAGCTGATCCAGCTGCTGGAGAGCATTGTACAATGCACAGTTGATCCAGCCGCTGGAGAGCATTGTACAGTGCACAGCTGATCCAGCCGCTGGAGAGCATTGTACAATGCACAGTTGATCCAGCCACTGGAGAGCATTGTACAGTGCACAGCTGATCCAGCCGCTGGAGAGCATTGTACAGTGCACAGTTGATCTGGCCGCTGGAGAGCACTGTACAGTGCACAGTTGATCCAGCTGCTGGAGAGCATTGTATGATACACAGTTGATCCAGCTGCTGGAGAGCATTGTATGATGCACAGTTGATCCGGCCGCTGGAGAGCACTGTACAGTGCACAGTTGATCCAGCTGCTGGAGACTGGAGGAGTGAAGGTCAGTGGTGGCCGCACCAGAGGAAACAGAATCTCACTGTGGTTCATCTGGAAGGGCAAGCACCATGCTTCACACAAACTTGTGAGGAAAGTGCTGCAGTTTTAGGACCCCAGGGAGTGCCCATCTGCCTGTCAGTCAGCAGCAGTGGACTGGGTAGTTTTCTAGAATTCTCTGGAATGCTGTACCCCGACACACACACACACACACACACACACACACACACACACACACACACACACACACACACACACACACACACTTTGTAAGAGTTTCCAGAGAATAATGACCTCTTTTCCAGGGTCTGCATGTGCTGAGAATGCCATTGGCCTGGCTGAGTCTAACCTGGAGGCATGTGGAGGATAGGATTCTGGGAACCATAGTCTCTGGGATGTAGAAGGAAGGAGAGGGGATGTAGAGTTGAGACAATGCAGACAGTGGGTGGAGCCACCCCCAGGCACTGTCCTGGTTCCTTTGTCGGTCTCAGAGGCGGTGCTTCCTGCCTTGTGAGCACCAGAGTAGTGGGCAGTGGGGGAGGCTTTCGAATCCTGCCCTTCAAATCCCTGGTCTCGGTGGCCGGTCCGGAAATACACAGGAACTTCCTCGTCAGAGACACGTCGTTTTTTCCAAATAGGAAGTCAAGTTTTTTCTTCTTGTTTAGGATTCTGATTTTTGAATTAGATTTGATTTTGATTTAATTGAATTTGATTTAATTTTGGATTAAAGTGGGGCGGTTTTTGGTAGTTTTTACTGTTACACTTCCTTAACAGTGTGAACTGTTGTGTTGGTTTTAGGCAACCCCCAATGGACCTGCATGGTGTTGGTGGCTGCTGGCAGTCCTTCCTGTAGACCCTCGGTACCAACTCTCCGTCCTGTCGATGAAGTCCCTGGAGGAACGGCTGACGAAGATACAGCACATTCTGACTTACTTTTCTAGAGACCAATCTAAGTCATGAACGGCTCGGATCTTCTTTAGCTTGCTTTTAGCCCCAAGGCTGAGAAGCGGTTGGATCTCATTTTCAAGTCACCCTGATCTGGCTCGTGGATGGCCAGATTGTCCGCTGCCTTTGCACACCCAGTGCTGGTTTAAGAAATTAAGGAAACTTTTTTTTTTTTCTTCAACCTCCTGAATCTCGTGGATCTGCAAATGAATACCTTCAACTAGGTCCTAGACCACTAAGAACTTGCACAGAAAACACACAGCGAATGTGTGTTAAACCTCTACATTGTGATGAAGTTGCACTATGTACCATACTCGAACTGAACTAAGTACTCCGTGTATGTATGAAGTGTGCGTGTGTATGCCTGTGTGAATGCAAGCCGGTGTGCGTGTGTGCGTGCACGTGTGTTTGTGTGGGGTAGCGTGTGTGTTTTTTCTCTGGCTTTAAAAGACAAATTTTAAAAGACAAAAAAAAAAAAAAAAAAAAAAAAAAGCCATAGAAAGTGAACTTGCTGAGGGTCCTCTGTTGCCCAAGTTTACAGCACAGCGGTAGTCATAGGAGTTTTCGCCGATTGAATTTGCCTCAGATTTATTTGTCCTGATGCTTCTATTTGCACACGTCTATAAACTATGGTACAGAGTATCATTTTTTTGTTGTTGGAAATCCTGCTCTTGCTGAACTGTCTTGGCCATTGACTATGACACAGTTTCTTATTTATGTAAATACTTGCATCCCCGTGGCCAGCCGGCAGGGATGCAGAATCTAGAGCCAGTCTCCAGGGACAGCTGCAAACCTGACATGGTACTGTGCATCCATTCTTAAAACTGTGAAAATATGGTTTACATTAAAATGTACATAGAGGTAGATGGAGAACTCGGTTCAACCGGTTAGCTTGTACATTCTAGGGGGCTTTTCACATTAACTGCCCGTCTCCGTCATTTAGAGTTTGACATGATAACTCGTATTTAAGGAATTAGGTAGTGTATAAAGCCGTTGAGGATCTGGGGGAGGAGGAGCTTAACGTAGAACTAAGCTTGTAAGGTTTGTTTTGTTTTTCCTCTGGTCTTGGTGCAAATGTTAGTTATGCCTTATTCACATCCCAGTTAGAGCACCATGCTGTGACATGGTTATATCCATGCTGCCCTGGCCCTTTTATAATTCTTTGTTGCAGACTTGTGACTGTCTCTATTAACTTTCTTTTATGTAAGTAATTTGTACAAGTTTCTTAAGATTTTTGCTTTTGCTTATTTAATTTTGAATAAAAGCTAAATTCATAATAATTTTAGCCCTTAAATTGTAAATGATGTCAAAAAAAAAAGTCAATACAGGGACCAAGCCCTATATAGTAGAGAACACATGTATTTGGTTTCCTGTTTTGTGACATGAGGGCTTAAGTTGTGGTTTTGGTTTGTTTGGTTTTTTGTTTTGATGGGGGTGGTATTTTTTGAGACAGGGTCTCTCTACATAGCTCTGGCTGTCCTGGAGCTCACTATGTAGACCACATTGACCTCAGAGATCCAGTTGCCTGAGCATTGGGATTCAAGGTGTCTGCCACCACACCCAGCAAATTGTGTGGTGTATTGAGGCTTCAGGTCCAACAACCATTCTCTAAAGCATTGTTTTTTAACCTTTAAAAAACCCATATCCCTCTAGGACAAAGATATTCTTTTTTAATATGCTAAAAATATGTCTTGCCACTAACGAATTTAAAATTTTGAAGATAAAATTCTGCATACTTTCTTCCCCATTGACCCCTCTTCATTGTGCACACTTGACCATTTCTGTCCCCGGTTCTTTGAGATTGCCTCAGTACTGTTTTGGTTTTGTTTGCAGACAAGATTTCACTGTGGCCCAAGCTGGCTTCAGACGTGCTGCTCTCTTGTCTCAGACTCCAACTGCTGTAATCACAGGCACACATCTCCATGCTCAAAATCACACCTTCGGGATTTGGCTGCCGCTGTTCAGAAAGAACTCGAAGACCCCACTCAGACCCACTATTAATCTGTGGACTACCATCCACAGCATCCACCATTATCCTATGGACAACCATCCATGGCATCCACCATTAACCTGTGGAACACCATCCATGGCATCTACCATTAACCTGTGGACCACCATCCATGGCATTCACCATTAACCTGTGGACCACCATCCATGGCATCCACCATTA